TTGGGCATATGCATATATATATATAACTAGAAATGATTATTAGTGTATAACTAGTAATGTTATTTATTGTCAATGATTAGCATATATATATAGATATATATATATATACATATGGGCAAATTATAATATTTCACCAACCTGAATAGTTCGGCCATTTTTCTAGCAATTTCTTGCCCATATTCCAGGGCCGAACATATTCCATGCCAAAATAGCTGGGAAATTTCAGGGAATTGCGAAGACCCCTTTCAGGTGAAATTTGTATTTCATACAGTTTGCCAAGTATTCCTTTTCTTCTGGCACGTACGTTGTCGACTGCACATGTTCTTCCCCAAAGAAGATCCTTACTTTCAACAATTTCTGGAAATGTCATAATTAAAAATGTTGAGCTTTCCAAAAATGGATTAATAATGTTCTTATGGAAATTTGTCATCTACACTTTTCACGATCCCAAAACCCAATTCATAAGCTTTAAGCTTATGTTCTGGCACGCTTGGCTGGCCTTTCATCAGCAGCGCCATCCCCATCTTTCTTGACATCTTTGTGGCCCCGCAAAGAGCTCTGCACAACAGGATCTGGGAACACAAATCATCGACGATCCTGTTTTCTTCCGTGCAAAATAATTCCACCGATAGAGTACGATGCCACCCCTGGAGTGCGCTAATTTTCTGGAATGCGAAAATAAAACAGTATGCGTGGCCCCCTTCGACCTTCCCCATGAATCCAACACCAGTTTTTTCCATCATATACCAGAAAATTATCACATTTCACCCTGCTGAGCTTTTTTTTTCTTTTTTCTTTTTTTTTTTGCCAAAATTGCCTGGAATGCGATAGTATGTGCAACTACAGACGTCTCACGAAAAACCGCTACCTTTCCCATATTCCAGAAAACGTGATTCCAGGCGATTTTAGCCAAAAAAAAAAGAAAAAAAACGAAAAAAACGAAAAATTACCGAGTACGAAGATTTTATGGAGTGCGAAGATCTTGCAGTGTGCGTGGATTTTATAGTATGTGCGCGTCCCTAGCTGTGGAGTGCGATGTCCCATGTGGAGTGCGAAGAATTTGTGGAATGCGAAGAATTCCGAGTATGCGTGGCTGGTATAGAGACCACATAGGGAAATTTCGCGGCCAGAACCAAAATTCCAATCCCAAAGCCGGCCCAAACTTCCAGGGGCACACCAGTGGGTTCTATTTTTCCAAGTTCACCTTGGGTGAGGTCCCGGGGAAGAAACTTGCTAATTTTTACTTAGCCAACCTTTAAAAACGTTACCTTTGACAACCCTGTCCTTCTTCTGTAGACAAATGAGGAAACTTCCTTATCAAAGCAGCCTTCAATTCATTCAACGTCCACAGCTCCTTTGGAACGACATAGGGGATAGAAAGCTGTGGAGGGGCATTCAATGGATTCGCCGTGGGCCAACTGTTCCCTCCAGATTGAGCTGAAATGCCTATCAAAGTAACATACCAAAACCCAGGTCTGGAGTACGATGAAAACATGGTATGCGAAGATTTTCTGAATATGGGAATGTTGCCTTTAGAATTTTGGGATGATTCCCCTTATTATCCATGATTCCAGTGAGGGAGAACAGTGAGGTCGTTATAAGTTACCCAGATATGTGTATATACCAATGTCATTCAATCCAATCCGGTATAGTATAGTATAATCAAACTTCATTTCATAGAATATAGTATAATACGATATATTATGTTATGATATAGTATAGTATAATATCATATCATACTGATATGATATAATATACTATGATATAATATAATGTGATATAATATACTATAATATAATATCATATAATACTGATATGATATAATATACTATGATATAATATAATGTGATTTTATATATTATAATATAATATAGTATAATATGATATCATATGATATGATATAATATGATATCATATGATATTATATCATATAATATGATATAGTTCTAACACATAATATAATATGGTATAATCATAAAACATAACATTACAAAACATAATATAGTACAATATAATATAATATAATATAACATAATATAATATAATAAATAATAACATAATATAATAATATAATACAATATAATATAATATGACATGATATGATATAATATATAATAATATAATATGATATGACATGATATAATGTTTATGTCTATATAATATAGTATGCTATAGTCTAATATGATACAACATATACTATATGTTGATATAATATGACAAAAATGGTGTAAAATGATATTATACAATATGTATATATATATAATACGCTATAATATGATATATTATATAATGATTATTCATATTAGTACTCATATCAATATCAATATTACTTGTAATATTAATATAAATATAAATATAGTACAATACAGTTTAATTTAATTTACAGCAATATAACACAACTATAATACAATCTGGTATTTTTGTTGAACCATGGTGTTTCTGCTATGGCTTTCAACATCTCAGTGACGTCTTAACTCGTTGTCTGAATCTTGGGAACCCCAGTTCCATCCACATCCAAGGGGCCATGTACGTAGACCTTGGACGGTGAAATCATGGAGGTGTCACTGTCTTTATCATGTCTTAATTAATGGTGGTTAATGGTGATTAATGGTGATTAATGATGGTTAATGATCACTGTCTTTATCATGTCTTCATTGTTTATCCCATATATGAAATGGAAAATAAAATTCATGTTCCAAACCACCGACGAGACATTGTTGATCACTGTCTTTATCATGTCTTTATCATGTCTTTATCATGTCTTTACTGGTGAAAGTCAAATTGGATCATCATCCCAACAATTGGGGAAAATAAAAACGTTCCAAACCACCAATCAGTTTATCATTGTTTACAGAGGTTTTTCAGTGATAGGATTCGGCAGGTTGACCTGCGAAAATCTTCAGGTCGAATCATGTGGAATCCAATGGGAACGTGTATCGATACCGATGCGACCAACAAGGAATGAAGAATCCAACAATGGGGGGAGATTGGAAACTCTTGTTACCCTCTGGTAATTTAACATAGCGAACTGGAAAGATCCACCATGCTATTAATGGGAAAATCCACTATTTCGACTGGGTCATGTTCAATAGCTAACCGTTAAATTACCAGAGGGTATTCCAAGCACATTTAGGCGTCTTTTGGATGTTCAACCAATTCGGGGAAAGGGGATATGTCCATTTCTTTCCGTTAGACTTTGCCTGACTACTCAGCTAAATGAATCAAATGTCACCATGAATTTTCATGGCTCGACATATCCATATCCTGAGATCCACTTGACACTCTAAGAATAAGTAAATCCAATTGCCATATCGTGATCCAAAGCTTCCATGTCAACTTACTCGACGCTTAGTTTTTATAGCAACTTACTCGACGAAATCGGGGTCAAACGTGTTCCCAACCGGCTTCGTTTGCCAAGTTACAGCTCCCGGGGCAGAGGCAAAGAACAGCAGCAGCAGCAGATTCCGCGTCACCAGTTGCGTCTCCATCGCGGGAACAGAAATGGAGCAACCAAAAAGATGGAAAAATGCCGCAGATTTCGCTGTTGAGAATGGTCTGAATCGCCACTTTTGGGCTCCAAGTTGGGGCGGATCATATGTGGCCGGATCCGGCTGTGTCAGTGGATATCGAAAAAATGTGTCGTTAGGACATGTCAACCCGTATCTATCATCCTATCATCCTACGGTGACCAGCTTTCCTGAAGAAATCCTCCCAGTTGGTGGTGCCAATACCCACGGAGCTGCCAAGGAGGGGACCGAACATGTCAAGGATTCACCAGCCGAGAGCCGCTGCGAAACGAGAAGCCGTTTTTGGAACATCTGTTGGGTGGAGCTGAAAACATCAGTAACTAAGGGTTTATGTTAGATATATCAGATATATCTATAGTTGCTATGGTTAGCAAGTCATATCAAAATCTAGTTGCCCTCACCTTGAAGGTACCCCAAATCCAGCAACTTCTGACTTCCATTGCTTCCATGGCTTCCAAACAACATTCCCCCTGGTGTGTTCCTGAAAGTTGCAAACCCCAAAAAAAATACCCTCTGGTAATTTAACGGTTAGCTATTGAAAATTGCCATTTATAGTTGATTTACCCATTTATAGCATGGTGATTTTCCATAGTTATGTAAACGTTTACCAGAGGGTATATGAAAAAAGTGTTCCTTTGAGCAAGCAAAGAAGGATTTGGGTTTTCCAGATGTTTGAAAAACAATGTATCTCCATCTGTTTGGGGGTTGTTCGGGATATGCCAGTCCAGTTGACCCGGAACTGTGGTTTGTGCCCACTTACTATGTAACTGGGTCTTGCACCCTCAAGTGGTTAGGTTTGTCCGACAATTATGGGAAAACCGTCACGATTTCCATGGTACATCATCATATACATTCCATGTAAGTCACAAAAAATGATGGGATTATCCCTCTGGTAATCCCCGATTTCTAGACACACCCAAATCCGATATTCTTGGTGATGTCCTTCAAAAATATACCCTCTGGTAAACTAACAGTTTGCTATTGAAAATGGCCCAGTCGAAATAGTGAGTTTTCCCATTAAAAATGGTGGATCTTTCCATAGTTTTTTTGTATGTTTACCAGGCCGGCTACTTTCCGGGTCCGAAAGATCGTGAACTCCCTGGGGTATTTTCCCAAAAAAATGGGAGCGTCCTAAAATGGGGGGTACTACCAGTTATCCATGTTAAAATAAGATGTTCCTTGAGAAAGCATCCAGCTATTGGGGTACCCCAAAGATTTTAGGAAATATCTGGAACAATGCTGTTTTAAGGGAGCATACCGAGTAGTATACCTCAGACTTCAGATCAAATCAAAAGTCAAGCCATCTTATTACAGGATGGGGCCTCATAGTTAGTAAAGTTGGTTTGTAACTATAATAACAATAGTGTATGATACTTATAAATATAGTTAGATTGAGTTATAAACCAACGTTCACATAACTGGGGGGCCCCATCCTGTAGTTGCTACCATCACCCTGGGCCCGGGCCCCCGAACTACTGGAATGCCACAGGCCCCACAGGGCCATAGCAAGGCCGTCCATGCCTAGGCCACCATTTCACTAGTGAAAAAGTGATCAAGTGATGATCTTTAATGATCTTAACAAGCTAAAGTTGGGTGATTTTCCAGCTTAGATTGCTGGGTAGATCGATTTGAATCAACCAAAAATGAATACAGTATAGCGTGCCAAACTGGCGGTAATCAATCAATATTAACGGACCAAGAACTGGTATAACTCACAAGAATGGTGGTAATCAGCCAAACTGTTGAAGTATGTGATAGAGACGATGTGGCGTTGTTTATCAATTTATCAACCAAAATGGGAAGTACAAACATATACAAACTACAAAACACAAACATCATGGATGAAACCAAGTACCAGATATGGTAGCGAAATATACTGCAATCCCACCCCTCAATCAAAAAAAAGGGTCATTGATTCGAGGGAACGAATGGCTTTGCCAAAAACTTGAGGGTTCGATTTTTCAACCCAGAAAATGTCAGTAATGTCAGCAAGAAATATTAGAAAATGTCAGTAATGTCAGCAAGAAATACCCAGAAACAGTGTCAATGTCAGCAAGAAATATTGCTTTTGACAATTGGATGGACCCTGGCCAAAAAACTCTGGGTATTGTTGGGGAACCTTTCTCATTCTTTGACCTACATTGTACATCCATCAAACAAAGTAGCCTGGCTTCAAATCCCCGCAAAATATGGCATGCAAGAAATAGATGACTCCCGAAAGAATGTGAAACTTGTCCTCAGCGGTGCGTAAAGACTTCAACCATGCCAGAAACTGGACATAAAAGCACAAAATGACCAAATTCAGGTCCAGTCAAAATCATCTTTCCCAAACCCACTTTCTGAGTTCAAAAAAAAGAACTTCAGTGTAACGGGCCCATCATATGTTATGTTCTTCCCAGGCTATGCCTAAAACCCCATACCAGGTTGCAATAGGCGCCCCAGTAGGTGTCGATGATCGGATGCCCGTTGTACCTATCCCAGGCAGATCGCAGATGTTCCATAGCCAACTGCTGGAGGAACCAGTCTTCGAAGCTGATCGCATTAAGGTGTCACATGTAGGTGTCAAGTTCCATCTTGGATCCATTAACGAAAATGAGGGCTGAAATGAGTGAAACGTGCTTTGCCCTGACTGGATCTCCAGTATCCGCTGTTGGTGAAGTCAAGTGTCTACCAATCTTTGCCTCATGAAGTGCCCATGGCCAACCCCATCCTGATTGAATTATTGGGCATATGACAAATATGACAACGGGTTCAAATGATTGACACCCCAAATGTGATTGCCAAATTCTGAAAATGTCCAGGACCCGTCCAGAAATTGGAAAAATCATTCCCCAAAAACTAGCAGTTGAACTGCTATTTCGGGAAAAAGACAAAAAAAAACTCCAATTGGGAGTACCATGGAGTACACTATTTTCCAACATAGAAAGGACCAAATCTCATTACCCTCTGGTAATTTAACATAGCTATTGAAAATTGCTATTTATAGTGGATTTTCCCATTAAACATGCTGATTTTCCATAGTTATGTTAGTTCACCAGAGGGTACCAAATTTGGCATCCAAAAAACCAGCCGATCCAGCTGCCTCCGATCCCTTAACCGCGCTGTCACCGCCTGAGCGAATTTTCGGGAGGAGTTTCATTGGAGAAGTATGGATACCCGGCCTGGTAATGACTAACGGTTTGCTATTGAAAATGGCCCAGTCGAAATAGTTGATTTAGCCATTTATAGCATGGTGATTGTCCATGGCTATGTTAGTTTACCAGAGGGTAGATCCTATGAAGTTGTCATTGTCACTTCGAGTACAGCGTTAATTGGATTTATATAGTTTTAAAAAAAAAATACAAGAAACCGACCCATGTTTTTTTTTGCCCCACTTAAGGAGTGCTTTTTCCATCACCCAATTCTAGGAGCAGTGTGGAAATCCCGGATATTGAAGGGGTATGATCCGATGAAGCAATGAAGTCATGTTTCGCGGTCTTATCCGTTATCCCGAGTTTCAAGGGGGGTTGTCTTCTGAACCACCATTTTGGGGGTGACATCCTTATCTGTTTGATCAAACTGCCCATTCTTGTTCACCACATATGTCTGAGATATGGGTACTCCAAGACCCCGCGCCTTATCATAATCTTAAATACCATAGTATCTAGAATTTTAAATGGAGATACCATAATTACCATAATTACCATAATTGGAGATACCATAATCTTATATAAATACATGGTGTTGTTGTTATATGATATATATATATATACATATATGATATCATAAATGTTGTATCTTATATCCAAATTCATATCAATTTCATGATATCTTAAATGTTGTGTTTTTGTTTCTCGTATCTCCAAATTTTCAGACAAACTGTCATGTGGCTTCATCCGAAAACAGCCTCTAAATCCACTGACCTTGATGGCCCCATCACATTGCCCAACAAATCTAATCTTGTTGTTGGTTGTGTTGGTTGTGTATGTATGTATATATATATATTCCCCATGATATCCCACTAAGTCACCATTTTTGTTAAATCACCATGTTTGCCCATGTTCGATAGTTGCTCTCATTATCATTCCAATACACCCTATGAGAGTCCCATTATCATATTGTAAACCAGTATAAACCCCAAATGTCACCTTCCATGCAGCCTCTCCCCACGAAGAAACGGCACCTCTGAGATCTGGGGCTCTTTGGCCTTCCAGTCCCAATTCGCTTCCTGACACCGGAGCTTTTGTTTCACAATGATTAAGCAGGTAACCCCAGTGGCTGAAAAAAATGCAAGAATAAATGTGGGAAATACTCACCTGTTGCTAATTGCATGTGTATATATATATATACATATTATATATATATATACATACATATTATATACTTATATACATGTCTGGTTGTTTATTTCCTTCGATACAAAAGTGGACACATCACTTGTTTGGGAGTAGCTGCTAAGCAGTTGCGGTTCATTGGAACAAACTGGTGAAGTCAATGTCGTTCAACGTTCAACGAGATCGACCAACGGCAACCCGTTGCCGAAGGAATCCGAAGGAAGCAATGGAAATCTCCACAGGAAATCATCAGAAAGAGTGGAAATCTGGGAATGATAGATGATTCACGAAAAAAACACCACCAACTGTTTTTGTGGTAAATTTACCCACATAAAGCATCCGCCTATTTTGAACAATTCATGGAACCCCAAAATCGATTGTTTTTTCATGGAATATGAGCCAATTCATTCCACCGAACTCGCAACTAGGAGGTTTCGTTCGCTGGGAAATTCATCGAACTAAATTCCGTGATTTTCCAGCAAAGCATGGAGCTGATTACCAGAGGCTATGCACCATTTAAACCTGAACCGCAAAAACAATACAATATTTGGGAAGTTGAGTTCCCTATTGGACACAAAAAAATGGACCACAACTTGGTGATGGCCATCTTTTGTCGATTCCCCGTGGGACCCTAACATGGACGGTCCATGATGTCAAGTTGTATGGATGCAAAAACGAGTTTCTCAACCATGAGACTTTGAGGTGATTATCTTATTTCCTCATTTTCAAACAGATCATAATATGTATCTTGATGGTGTGTAACCTGTTTTCTAGGGATGGTGACTATGGCGTGATGGATACCACTTTATATACAATTGGAGATGCCACGTTATATGCATTGGAGATTGTGTGTTGTACTATCGCAAGGCCATTGAAATCCAATCATAATGTATTACAATCCGGTTATGATGTATTATAATATCCTTATAATTTATAAGAGTATGAGCCATTAAATCCCAATACTTGATGGTAGATGCCCCATATTTCCCAGAAGTCCCCACATATGAATGAATTGGTCATATAAAAACCCAATGATCATCCTAATGTCATCAACCCAATTATCCCAATAGTAGCAATATCCAATAATTGATTTGGGATTATGACTGATATCCCCATTGTTCTTGGTGAAGTCCGTAGTTTCATTTTAAATCCACATTGATTGTTGGTCAAATGGAACTGTGTCCACTCCCAATGTTTGACCAGTGCTCCATCCTCCATTGGGAGTGCTGGTTTGAAACATTGGATGATTCATCACCATTCCTGTGGATGATTCATCACCATATGTCTATGTTTTTCTCCGGTTGGAAATCATGTTCATATTCCAATCATATTCCTCCTTATAATTTCATTAAGAGATGATGACTCCCCTTGAAATCCCTCCTATCATCCGATGAAAATCGTGAAACGATCACCCCCAATGTTTGATGAGTAACATCCTCCACTAAAAACAACAAGATGCAGCCCACGAACCGGAATGCAGTCACGTAGAACACTTTTGTGAAACAAGGTGCTTCAACAGTCTTGTACGTTTTTCCCCTGTTACTGTACCAGTGCACTGCAGACTGTGGAATCCAGAAGGGGTGAAGTGCAAAGTGTGGAGTGTGGAGTGTAAAGTGTAGAGTGTGGAGTGTGGAGTGTGGAGTATAATGTAAACTGTCGAGTGTGGAGTGTAGAATGTGAAGTGTAGACTGTGGAGTGCAAAGTGTAGAGTGTATAGTGTGGAGTGCAAAGTGTGGACTGTAAAGTGCAGAGTGTACAGTGTAAAGTGTGGAGTGTAAAGTGTAGAGTGTCGAGTGTGGAGTGTAAAGTGTGGAGTGTAAAGTGTAAAGTGTGGAGTGTACAGTGTAAAGTGTCAAATGTGGAGTGTGGAGTGTAAAGTGTAGAGTGCGGAGTGTGGAGTGTAAAGTGTAGAGTGTGGAGTGTAGAGTGTGGAGTGTAGAGTGTGGAGTGTAAAGTGGAAAGTGTGAAGTGCAAAGTGTGTACTGCGGAGTGTGGCGTGTAAAGTGTAGAGTGTGGAGTATAAGGTGTGGAGTGTGGAGTGTGGAGTGTAAAGTAAGGAGTGTGGAGTGTAAAGTGTGGAGTGCGGAGTGTAAAGTGTGGAGTATGCAGTGTGAAGTGTAGAGTGTGGAGTGTGGAGTGTAGAGTGTGGAGTGTAGAGTGCGGAGTGTGAAGTGTAAAGTGTAGAGTCTGTAAAGTGTATAGTGTGGAGTGTAGAGTGTGGAGTGTAGAGTATGGAGTACAAACTGTAAATTGTACAGTGTCAAGTGTGGAGTGTAAAGTGTGGAGTGCGAAGTGTGGAGTGTAAAGTGTAAAGTCTAAGGTGTGGAGTGTAAAGTGAGAAGTTTGGAGTGCGGAGTGTAAAGTGTGGAGCGTTGAGTGTAGAGTGTAGGGTGTGGAGTGTAGTGAGTGGAGTGTGAAGTGCAAAGTGTAGAGTGTAAAGTGTAAAGTGTAGAGTGTAAAGTGCGGAATGTAAAGTGTAAAGTGTGGAGTGTAAAGTGTAGAGTGTGGAGTGCAGAGTGTGGAGTGTTAAGTGTAAAGTGCGGAGTGCAAAGTGTGGAGTAAAGTGTAAAGTGTAAAGTGTGGAGAGTAAAGTGTAAAGTGTGGAGTGTAAAGTGTGGAGTGTAAAGTGTAGAGTGTGGAGTGTGAAGTGTAAAGTGTGGAGTGTAAAGTGTGGAGTGTGGAGTGTGGAGTGTAGAGCGCAAAGTGTAAAGTGCTTTCAGAAATTTCACACTTTGTAGCGTCAAAATTGGGGTTTTCCCACAATTTTTCTCATGAACATCAAAATTTGCTACCTCAAAATCGATATTTCGTGCGAGGTGTCCGTCAAGTTTCATCACATCTCAGAAAATGCCACGCCTGCCATGGAATTCGCACGTTGTCACCACTTCACGCAGCCCTGACAATGGGATTCAGCAAAGACACGCAACAGGACTTGTCTCAAATGTTGCGCCTGCCGCGCAAAAGTTTTGCGCCTGTCACACAAACCGACTTGAGACGAGACATGTTGGAGCATCAAAACGAGCATTTCGTGCGAGAATTCCTCCAATTTTGACACTTTGTAGCTTCAAAATCGATGTTTTCCTACGAGTTTTCCTTAGAACGTGAAAATTTGCAACCTCAAAATTGATGCTTCGTGCGAGGCTTCCGTCCATTTTCAGCACATCTCACAAAATGCCACGCTTGCCAGGGAATTGGCACCTTGTCACCACTTCACGCAGCCCTGACAATGCGATTAGCAAAAACGAGCCACAAGACACGTCTAAAGTGCTGTGCCTGCCACGCAAAATGATGATGATGGTCTCCAAAGTGTTGCGCCTGCCACGAAAAATAGAACGCATCATCTTCTGAAAACTTCGCAAAAGCATTGCGCCTGCCACACACAACGACTTTCCACACGTTACGAAACACGTCTGAATGTCACGAAGTGCCACGCCTGCCACGCGAAACGAGGCTACGCGACATTTGAAACCTCCAGGAACAGCCATATGGGCAACGGTTGCGAACGGTTGCGAACGGTTGCGAACGGTTGCGAACGGTTGCGAACGGTTGCGCAACGTCTGGCGAACACAGCCTCAACCCCCAGACAACGGGAACCCTTGCGACGCATTCGGGAAAAACTTTCCTGTCAATGATTCATCACCATATTTCTGTGGATTTTCCCCGTTGAAAATCACCCCAATCTCTCAGCACCTTGAGCGACAACGGCTGGCACTTCAACAAGGCGCTGATGCGCTGCAGGCCGTCCGCGCGGCCACAGCCTGGGTGATGGATCGCGAGGCCAAATGGTTGTGACTTCTATGGTCTAAGAGGGATAACAATGGGGTAACAATAATAGGGATATTTAATGAAATATGAATGGATGATTAACGAAATATTAATGGAATATTAATGGATTGACCCTCCTCTCAACACACAAAAAGATCTGGAAAATCCGCATGTCTGGATCATTTTAACCTAGGGAAACCATGGGGTTTTCCACATCTGTTGGTTTACTCCAGGGTAACTGAGTTTACGGAGTTGATGATTCCACCAACCGAATCATTGAATCTCAGGAGGTGACCCGGTGACCCTCCCAACTAAAGCAAAAAACCATTGGATGTGTATGAACTGTATGAATGTGCATGTGTGGATGCGTATAAATATCATTAAAAATCTATCTTTATATATGCACACGTGATTGTACCATATTGAATCCATATTGTACATATATTCCCCAAAAACTGCATTGCAGATACGTCAGATATGTATGCACGATGTGAATCACAAGATTCAAGAATTCCATCTGTGGTTCAGTCGATGATATCCCCAAGCCGGCTGGCTGGTTCCATCCCCATCACTGTGAGTTTAAATGAACATGTCTACTTCGGGAAAAAAAAAAAAACGTACTTCAGTTGGTAACATCCGCATATTTCAGTTGGCCAAATTCCCATATTTCTATTGCTTAAACCTTCCATTTTTAGTTGGCGATCCCCCATGTTGCAACCTTTCAACATCCCCCGGAATTTTATTTTGTTGAACTCAATTCAATTTTTATTTTTTTTGTCAATGATGAATTATGTATCCACATTGAAATCTCATGTTTGATACATTTCCCTGCACTTTTTGCTGCCAGGGAACCCTCCATGCTTTGGTACTCCATTTCCTGCTCAGCTGACCACGGGAGTTTTGGCCGTTTCCAGTCAGAAAATCGTCCAAAAGATTTTCAAATATGGAGGTTGATTTTTTTTTATAATGTGGGTAATGCCATAAACCACCCATGATGTGGGGAATGGTTTATTTACCCTCTGGTAATTTAACGGTTTGCTATTGGAAATGGCCATAGAAATAGTTGATTTTCCCATGAAAAATGGTGGATTTTCAATAGCTACGTTAAATTACCAGAGGGTATACCACCTATATATATAATAACCATTAGTAATAACCATTAATCACCATTAATCACCTAATATATAACCATATATAACCATTAATAACCATATATAACCATATATTTATGGTGATGACTGGTGGATGATTTATGGCCGATTTTCTCTCTCGCCTCGAAACCGCTGTTCAAGAAACCCTCCACCGTCGTGGAGATGAATTCCTTCAGCTCCTCACGCTGTGGCCATGGCAAAACAAAGGAAGGACGGACGCAAGGACGGGGGAGACCTGATGATTGTCTCTTCTTTACATGAAAAACCTGTGTTTTCGACATCGAATCTGATATACAGCATGTCTTCTCCCCTATTTCTGGTGAAAGTGAAGTACCAGGCGCATTATGCCCATTGTGATGAGTTAAATCCCTCGTGGTGAAGTCATTTACGCTTCAATCCCCATCTTTGTTCCTCAAATCGCTCCTTTTTGGAATCTCCTCCGGTGCATATCAGGGGCGAATACCAAATAACCCAAGAATGGGATGTGTGACGACCATTCATGACTATTCTGCTCATTTTCGAGAAGTGACAGTAAGTAAGGTACCATTCTTTTTGACCCATGATCACGATAATTGAGATATATATTCTGCCAAGCAGAATAGCTGGGTAGTATACATCCTTACGAAAACGGAAGAAAAAAACAGACGACGCAACAGCCTAGGTTTAAACATATTTTGATGGTTTAAATCAACTTTTTGATGGCTAAATTCCCTTTATCTGCATAAATCGCCATGTTCATGTTCTTTACATGCCAAAAATATCCAAAATACCAAATTATTTGGGTTTGTCCTCCCATTTTTTGGAGGATCTCCAACCCAAAAAGAAATGTTCGCGGCCGGGGCACACTGGAAGGCGCTGGCTCGCCCGACACGGCACTGCGTTTGTGCTGCGTTATTGCCTGACAGTGGAATTTTCGCCTCCGAAACGAGCTTGGACTTAAGCAACCAATGATTAGTTAATTATATCCTATTATATGTTCATTGAGATTCATATGGGTGTGTCAATTGTGATCATAATTCCATTTCTATAGCTGAAAAGAAAAAACTTTTGAAATCACCAACTAGTTACCCGTTGGTCATCTAAGATGACTAGTGGTTGAGTTCAGGTGTTTTAAAGGATTACAGAGATTAGCAGCAAATTCAAATTGTATATTCACCTGCAAAATGAAGGTTGAAGCACCACAGAATACTGATTTGAGCACCAAAATTTGTGGAATGTTCACCTCAAGAGGGTGAACAGCACCAAATGAAGACTAAAACAACCATCCTATCAACTCGGGAAATTTCACTTGAAAAAATGGAACATGAACATCATGAACCAATCTTAGGCATGAGTCAAAATCATCAGCCCCACAATGGACGCTTGAAAAAAAAAAAACGAAAATTGCCAGCCATTCGACCGGGTCCATTGCCCGTACCCCAGTGACTTGCAAAAAGAACCGCATTGGCCTGAGAAATCATCATTTTCCCCAATGAGCATAGCCCCAAATCTCGGTATTGAACCCCATGAACCCATCATAAACACATCGTTTTCACGAAATCCATGATTTTTATTATGAAACCAGATATTGTTTATGAATCATCATCAAATCATAAAACCCCATAAACATGGGTTTTTTTAATGAAACCACATATATTCCCATGGTTTTTCCAGGTTTTTCCATTTTCCCCATTTTTCCCATGTTTCCCCCTTCCCTTTTGGTCGCCCATCATCCACCGTTTCTGCCGCCTGCGCCACGAAGAAGGCCATGAAGGCACAACATGCGGCAGCGTCGCAGGAGGGGTGCGAGGCGCGACTTTGCAAAATCGCCACCTTCATGGCCTGGTTCAGAGGAGATGGGGCTCCAGAGGTGGAAAAAATGGCTGGTTTTACCATGGTTGTTTTACCATGGTGAACTCAAAGCCCCAGAAGTTGGGATGGATATGGGGCCGCTATACCTCTACAACTATAGTTTCATTAAAAAACAACATGTGGCTATGATAAACCCAATGGAACCCGGTACCCTAAAATAGGTTTTACATGCCACAGAACACTTCGCCGCTTTCCAGGGAGTACCTGAGCTTGCACCAGGTTTACATGACTTGCTGCAATTTCAAGTTGGCTTCTTGTCTGATGTTCACTGGGACAAATGATGGTCCAACTAAACGGTTTCCGTTTTCCTCTGGAATGTGACACCATCGTGAAATTTTACTTCGTTTTATATTCCCATTCATGGCTATAAAGCAACACTTTCCTCTGTTCAAACGGAGGCCGCATTGCATAGACACTTCTGTTTCTTTCAAACGTCTCCTTGACGCGCAAGAAGTTGTAGTAATCAAAAGTGTGTCATCTGCAAAATACAGTCTGTCAAAGTATACCCCATTCTATCTAGCATTGGTAGCACAAATAAAAGCGGGGAAAGAGGGCATCCCTGCCTAATCCCGGACGATTGGGTTTTCATACGTGATTTACCAAGTTCATCTTCCACAAAGAATGAAGGTTTGGAGTAACAAAACCCAATCATCTGGACAATTTACTTGTATTGCCATACCCTCTAGTAATTTAACATAGCTATAGAAAATCACCATTTTTAATAGGTAAACCATCTATAAATGGGCCATTTTCCATAGCTATGTTAGTTTACCAGAGGGTAAATACAACGCCGGATGTGAACAGGCCATCGAAAAACTATAGCTTCCCCATATTGCGAGCCATCATAAAGCGGGCTTTGGCCCATAGGATTACAAGGAATAAGTGGTGGCGGCCAGCAAATATTTCCAGGAATATTCCCATTGCCCCATTGCAACAAAAACTTTGATTTTCTGAGATAAAAAGGCTGGGATAGTCCAATAGTGCCGGTTAACAAACCGGCACTAGTAATCTAGCAATTGAAAACGCAAGAATTGATGTCAGCCCTCTATTAATTCGGTACCCTCCAAAGAGTGAACTCTGAAATGTAATCTGAAATAGTGAGTAGTACCCAACCTGAATAAGCCTAATTAAACATGAATGGAAATTGATGTCAATAATTTGCTACTATCCCAGCCCGACCTCCCGCGGCTGCGAAGAGTAGGCAATGGGCACGGGAGCCAAGCGCATGATCGAACCGTTCCCTGATGCGCCAAACAATGGCAGTGCGCAAAAAAAACTAGGGTGATCATCATTGATAATGGTTCATAATGGTTTCATATTTGTTACTAATTGTTTTAATAAGGGTTGGTTCATAATGGTTAATAGTGGTAATAATGGTTGATAATTGTTAATAGTGGCTAACAACGGTTGATAGATAATGGTTCATATCATGGTTAATAATGATTAATCATGGTCAATAATGGTTAATAATGGTTAATAATGGTTAGTACTGGTTAACAATGGTTAACAATGGTTGACAATGGTTAACAATGGTTGATAGATAATGGTTTTATATCATGGTTAATAATGTTTAACCAAGGGTTAATAGATAATGGTAATGCTTAATAATGGCTAATAATGGTTCATAATGGTTCGTAATGGTTAATACTGGTTCATCGTAGCTAGTAGCAATGGTGAACAATGTTGATAATGGTTCATATACAATGTGGGAAACCCAATGCCATAAAAAAGGGAAGGTCCCCTCGAGGGCGTCGTGCGTTTTTGAACGCACAACGCCTTTAAAACCTGCATTTCGTGAATGTTTTAAAAATGCATCTTCCAAGGGGGGTCTCCGAAGTAACTTTTTTTAAACCTCACCGAAGCAATTGATGATGATGATGATGATGATGATGATAATGGTGATGATCATGTTGATGATCATGTTGATAATCATGTTGTTGTTGATGATGATGATGATGATGATGATGGTGATGATGATGATGATGATGATGATGACGAAAATGTTGATCATGATGATGATAATGATGATGTTGATAATGATGATGGGCATGTTGATCATGATGATGATAATGATGATGTTGACGATGATGATCATGTTGATGATGATGTTAATGATGATGATTATGTTGATAATGATGATGATGTTGGAGATGATGATGATGATGATGATGATGATGATATGAATTGCAAAGAAGAAATGCGTGTAAGGAAGTAGTTGCAAGTACGCTGGTTAACGTGAACGTTCTAATCCCCCCAAACCCAACCCCATGCCCACACGCCACCGGACACCAACGTCAACATATCAAAACCGAAACATCGACCGCGTGTCAAACCGTGACTTGCAAAAGTGAAAAGCGTGTCAAGAACGAAGATACAAGAACTTTAATGAACAAGAACGTTGATAAACAAGAACGTTATTAGCCCCCCCCCAACACCCCCCCACCCCCCCCACCCCCCCACCCCCCACCCCACCCCACCCCCGCCACCCATCCCACCCCACCCCCCAGAACAAACCCTGCCATGCCAACACGCAACTATAAACGCAACAGCGTCAAGAAACACAGCAAAACGCGCGGAAAATGCAACGACGCACACGAGAACAAGACAGCACGTGAGACGACCAGGATGTTGCGACAGTGACAAAAACATGAAAAAGTGTCAAAAACGCACGACGCCCTCGAGGGGACCTTACCATAAACAACTACCATTTGGGGACGCTTTATAGAACCCATAAAAATGTCATGACTTGGGGATGATAAAAATGATTGGGTTTAGCACCTTATGGGAAAAGCACCAAGGGAAAACCATGGATTTCAGACGGATAGAGCCAAATACGGAAGGGGCACTCGTGGGGGGCACTTGTGGAACCGTCCAGGCCCTAAGTCAATGGAAATTGCTACTGGAAATTGCCAGATGAATAAAACTGTGGCATGTTGAAAACTCTCCCCCTTCACGCTTTTAAACCTCCAATACTTGAAACAAATCTGATGTCATGTGTCAAATATGCATGAATTCATGCATTTTCTGCTAAGACCCATGTGTTTTTTCTGGCATTATCCTATGGTTTCCCATCAACTTCCATGGTTTTAACCCACCGTCCCCGTCCCCGGCGATGCCGCTCTGCCTGCGTCGTTGGTCACGGAGCCATAGATCGGCGGCACGCGATGTCCGCGAGTCGCCAGGTGCTCCACATCCGCCTGGGGCGAACGAAGCGCTCAGCGCCCGGTGGAGAGGCTTTTTGTTGCTGTTAAGATGTGCTAATCCACAAAATCTCTCCAAAAAAAATGATGTTATTATTTAAAAAAACATGATGTTATTATGAAAAATATGAGATCGTCAATGGGAAGCATGACATCCCATATATGAAATGGAAAATAAAAAATGTCCCAAACCACCAACCAGAAAATGATATTATTATAAAAAATGATGGTTTCAATAAAATAACAATAAATCATGGTTTCAATAAATGGGTGTGTTGTTATTATCCTTTCCCTATAAATGGTGGATTAACCACCAATCATTATAGGGTTATTACAAATAACAGCCATTGTTTGGGAGCGATTTCAGGTTGCTTTTTTCAGCAATGCTCCACCCTTGATCAGACTTGGAGGACCAGTTCGGTAAGGATCCATGGTCCAAGTGCAGTGTCTGGTAATTGCTCTCTCCTCTCAAAAAGCGGCTACCAGACAATTGTGAATCAGCCACCTAAAAACGAAGTTCAGTCGTGAGGCCAATCTGAAAGGTTGCAAACCTTTGGATACCGATGGAGGATCTTCCGAATTGCTACCTGATGGTAATCTTTTTGTTGGGGTGTTACTTTAGTATAGTCATCCCATTATATCCTCGTTACAGCCCCATGTTTGATGGTGAAACCATAATGTTCTAGAAGTTACCTCTGTATAACCAACTATTATATATATATATATATATAATCCCATCAAAATATAAGTATAATCCCATGAAATGCCATTAAATATATATATAACGGGATATTAGAGTAAGCAGTATAGATCCTTCAAATACCGTAGTAGAATAATATCCTATACCATTTGTTATGGGTAAATCCACTATAAATGGCCATTTTCAATAGCTATGTTAGTTTACCAGAGGGTATATTTCATCATATGTCTATGATTGTCTATGTTCATCCCTATGAAAGATTGATGACCATCTTCGAAGATGTGCGTACAATCCAACTTTTGACCAGTTCACACATTTTTAGCTTCCAAAATCAGACCTGTTTTGTTGGTGAGCCAGAAAAAGAAAAAACATAAATCGATTGGTTTTCATTGCTTGGTGAGAATATGTGCATATGGGTCAAAACCCTGGTACCCAAACGGTACCCTAAGTCATAGCTGGTATAGCTGGACGCTTATTAATGCTTATTCCCTATGGTAAATTCATATCTCCCATCCTCATCCCATCATAATTCATAGCTAACTTGACCCATCATCTAAAATCCCTATCTGGCTCAAGCTAAAACAATGCCATAAACCACCTATACTAACTTGGGTGAGTTTGAATCAAACCTATTTATGCTGATTTTGGAGATGGTTTATGACATTGTTTTACCTCCATTAATTGTGAATGTATTAGAAAAATCCCCTATTGTTTTCATGGTTGAGGATTGGTCTGTCAGAATCCATCATAATGTTGATGGTGGTTAAAAAAAAAAACACATCAATCAATGATGGTTTTACCCAATCTATAAAATCTATAAAATCTAGAAAATCTATAAAATCTATAAAATCCATTCCAATCAATGTTGAAACCCATTCCAATCTAGAGATAATCCCCATCTATAAATCTATGGTGACTGGTAATTCCAACATCCGAGCGTCCAAGGACTTGGCCACGTTACCACCCAGGCCCACGGACCTCGGAAAAAAACAAAAAAAAACATGTATTTCTGGGATTTATCAACCATTGATGGATTTTCTCGGAGATTTGAAGCATCCGCAAGCGGAAACACGTGGTTGAATGAGATTGGAATGGAATTTTGACCATGAAAAATTGGAGAAAAGTGGTGGTTTGAAGGGAATTGAATGGGATGCCATAGGGATTGTTGAATTGGATTTTATGAAATGTCATATAGTCATATAGTTCCTAACCCCAAAAAAAAATGCAAAAAAATGTGATGTTCATAGGATTTTAACACCAAAAAATGGAAATATGGTGGTTTCCTGGGATTACAGTATACAGTATAATGGCATGTTACTAGAAAGAATTGGTAAACTAGCACCTCATATCTTCCATATAATTTTTACAAAACAAGACGGAAAACATCGGAAAACCATGGATTTCCCTAGGATATTTTCTATACCACTCTGGATGTTCCATAACTATCTACCTCAGCAAGGCGAACAGCAAAACGTTAGTTAGCGCTATTTTTTCACATGAAAAATGGGGGACTTCACGGAGAAAAATGGGACTTGACCAACCTGAAAATGTGGGAATCCAAGCAGCAGAAAAACTGTGAAAAAAACTGGATCTTTGACCTTTTGAAGCAGTCTGACCTGAAAAAAATCAAAGCCAAACCAAACGATGCTGTCAGCTGCAACTAGACCTAGACCATGAAAATGCGGAGCAAAAATATGGCAGAGTCCAACTGTTCAGATGGGGACTTCAGGACTTTACCACCGAAAAATGGTGGAATTTTGAGCAGAAAAAAACTGGGCTTCGCCAGCAAATACTGGCAGAAATCGGTGATTTTCTCGCTGTACGGATGAGGATGTGACCTGAAACAAGAACAAGCTGTTACCTTGCGAACAAGTATGGTCAATCATGTCACGTTCAGTGTTGAATTGTTGAATTACCCTCACCATGCTGAAACCTGAAAGAAGCAAAGTATATGCTGGATACACGTCTCGAAGAAGAACAAATCGGTTGGAAAATAACCCAACATGTCCCGGTCCTCTTATCTAAGATTGCAATTGGAAATGAAATAAAGAATCATTATTGAAATTGGAAATCGATTTCATGATATAACACATATCATATATATATATCATTATATATCATGATTATTATGATTATTATAAAACCGGTGCAACTGTAGAAGCATCAGGAACTCGCCACGAAGATCCTCGAAATTTCTCGATGGCCATCGAAACCCAGGCCAGATGACCATAGACTTCCAGTGCACAGGTGTCCAGTTTGTTTAATCATTAAATCCCTCAAGCGTGTGTCTAAAAAATGGTGATTTAATGGGATTTTACCACTATAAATGGTGATTTGATGGTGATTTAGCCTCTGGTAATGACTAACATAGCTATAGAAAATCACAATTTTTGATAGGTAAACCATCTATAAAGGGGCAATTTTGAATAGCTATGTTAGTTTACCAAAGGGTAAATCCCCCAAGACATCAAAATTTCTCGAAATGGAGCCCCAACATGAATGGAGGGGTTCGTTTGAGGAGCATTTTAGAAAGAAAGTCATGAAATCAAACACTCACTACTTAATTTTACTGTACCCAGTAAATACACCAGCATTATTGCTTAATTTCATATTCTTGATTGTTTAGAACCTATAAAAACCTATAAAAACCAACGTGGATCGCGACCCCAAATCAATAGGAGTTCCAGAGAAACTTGGGTGTATTTTTTATTGACCCTAATTATTCCACTAACTATATCTAGGGACTATTAGCCTAATTATCCCATTATCCCTAATTCACCCTATGTAAGTGGTATTCACCCTAATTATCCCATTGATTATCCCATTAATGGCTTATTTACTATATTAGTCAATATCTGAAGATAGGGTTAATATAGTCAATATCCTGGGTCATATCCTCCAGTAAATCAATTGCTTACTATTGACCAGGGATATAAGCTACTGTACGATTCGTGGGATGAGTCTCCAGGTCTCACACTATCCACATTCTCATACAAGATGCTGCTCCCCGGCTAGAAGTTAGTCGAAAAAAAACAATCGAACTATACTGATAATCAGCATAAACCCAACAGTTGAGCTAGTGACTCCAACCAACTTTGCTAAGTAGAATTAGAATATTCCACTAAGTGGTTAGATATCTAATAATATATGTGTATATACAGTATATCTCCCATGATACTGTGGATGGAAGAAATCCTGCACCAGTTGGTAGATGGTAAAGATCCCACTATAATCCCAATATTTACAGTGTTTCATAGTTACCAATAGTTACCAACTGGATTCCAATAATATATATATATATATTAAGGGGGTTCCTAAAATAGAGGTACCCCAAATCATCCAAAAGTAGACCATTTTTTCGTATTGAAACCCCGTTGTGACTTGGAGTAACCCCATTTTAGAACACCTCCATATATGTACAACTATACAGTAACTATAATTAGCTATGATTAGAATCTTCCAATATTCCACTAAGTGGCTAGTTATCTAATAATATATATAATTATACAGTTACTATAAAACCATGATTCTCCTATTAAAAATGGATGATTTAGGGATACCCCCCCCATTTTAGGACACCTCCATGTGTAAATGTATATATATATATATGTATGGGTAAATTCTAATATTTCACTAACCTGAATCTTGCGGCCATGAATGGGGATCATTTCCCTTACGAACTATGAGGTCACAGTGAGGTCACAGTGAGGTCGTGATCAAATTTACCCAGATTCATCCATTCATATTTCATCATTGATCAACATTCATCATTCCCATATTGATTAATATATGATATATATATATATATAATCCCATGGTAAATTCCCATAGTATAGAAATGATAATCCCATGGTATATTCCCATAGTTGCTAGTGAAATCCCATTTTCCCAGAATATATATATATATGTATAGACAGTACATATCCCATGAGATTCCCATGAGTGATCTCCCACAGAACGGCGAAAGAACACGCTGAGCTCCCCAGGCGATCGACCATAGCGCCGCTCGTCGTAGCGAAAGGCGTTGCAGTAGCCGTGGAACCACCTGGGTGCCGCTTCGAAATGGCCGTTGTTCACCTGGAGAAATGATGGGTTTTATGGTGAATCCCTCAAGCGATTGTCTAAAAAATTGTGATTTAATGGGATTTAACCACTATTTCTATGGTGATTTGATGGTGAATATATGGATATCTTATGATATCTTAATGATATCTTAATGGGATTTAATGGGATTTAATGGGATTTAACCACTATAAATGATGGTTTTATGGTGAATATGGATACCCGGCCTGGTAAACGTTTACAAAAAACGATGGAAAGATACACCATGCTATTAATGGGAAAAGTCACTATTTCGACTGGGCCATTTTCAATAGCTATGTTAAATTACGAGAGGGTATCTGATATCTTAATCCCGATTTGCTGTTTTATAGTAACTTATATAGTAGGAAATATGGATATCTTAATCCCGATCTGGTGGATAATTAGAATCCCGTCAAGCTAGTCATGATCCCATTCAGTCCCAATTGTCCAATTACGGTAGAAAATATGGCTGGTTGGTGGTTTTAACCATCTTGAAAAATATGAGTTCGTCAATGGGAAGGATGACATCCCATATATGAAATGCAAAATAAAATTCATGTTTGAAACCACCAACCAGATGGGAATATTAAAACCCAAAAAAGATAGAACCGTGATGTCCCGATACTTCAGCCGGGTTTTTTTCTTTTCGAGCGGCCTTACGACGTATCTTAATCCCTAAAAACTGGCGCCAAGTCGCCACATGTGCCATCTCACACGCAAGTCACCGCCATCATAACCTGGTCGTTTTTCGGAAAAAATGAGATTGAAATCTTGAGATTCTGTGGCTGAATGAACTATGGCAACTATGGTAGATATAACGAACTAGTCATGGGGGTTTTGTTATGGTTTATAAACCAACATTCACATAACTGGCGGGAAAAAAAATCTATTCATTTTCAGATCTTTGCAAAGCATGGGTCCAGTAAACTGGACTGAAAAAAACGGATGGTATTGTAGGGATTTCCATTTTTTTGGCTCCGGAATTTATACACTTTGATGTTCAAGGATGTGATGGATGATCTTTTCTTCATCGTTTCCAGGTCTCCAATGGGTTCATCTACTTGGAGGCTTCAAGAAGCTTTAGCTCTTACCATTGGAAGATACCGAAAAAACCCAAAAAAAAACTATTCCCAGAAATCATACTTCCTCATGGCAAGGCAGAACTGGCATCCATGGCTGGAGCTTACCCTACTTCATCAGCTACTTCAGCCCTGGGTTAAACGGGTAAACGGGTAAACCAACCCTTGGAGAAGCGACATCCAACCGGCCGAGGCCCCTCACCGTTTTTCACCAGCAAGGAATCCGCCAGACCTCGGTGAAATCGCCGGTAGGTGCCCAGCCCTTGAAGGACTGAAATTCTGCGACTTCACTGGGAATTGAAAAAGGGACTTTAATGGGGAAAAAAAAACACTTGGATTTTGGAATGGTTAACAAAATTTAACAAAGCTCAAATGGGATGAATCTAGCCAGTATACAAGTGAATATCCCGTTTTTGGGGACCTCAACTCATAAATAGATCCAAGACATTTCACAGGGGGTTCGATTGGAGGTATTCGACACTTTGGGGGAAGAGATTCCTTGGAGCATCGAGATTGGAGCGAGATTTGAGAAGTATCTAGACCTGGGTTGCAACTATGGCGCCAGAAAGCAAGTGGTTATAACGGGTTACAATTATTTACATTATTTACACCTGGTTTGCTGCACCTGGGATACACTAGTGAAAATAGTCCCTAACTGGCATGGCCAAAATCTGGGTTCATTTGATCAAAAATGATGGCGACGTGGTACAAAAATGTCCGGTCAAATGGTCATGTTGACTCAGCCATCCATAAATTGGCCACAAAAAAAATGGTATCAGAGTATACCATAATGGATCAAAAATATTCCATAAGAAAATGTTATGGTATACTCTTGATAATGGTATTAATAATGGTTAATGATGGTTAAATCATACTCAATCATATCATTTGGCGGTTAATAATGGATCATCGGTTATTATTAGCCATCATTGGTAATGATATTAACCATCATTGGTTATGATATTAATGATGGTTAATAGTACTCAAATGTACTCAATCATATCTTGATACTTTTCATCGGCGGTTAGACAAAGAGATTTACCACCATGGCTTCGCCACAAAGCCATGGGTTCACTGCGGCGTCCGGACACAAAGCCATGCTGGTGTCGTCTGTCCTGTGGGATCAGTAGATTGAATCGATTCCAACTTTGCTTAGGGGAAGGCCAATTTAGGAGATCTAGCTTTAATTAGTTTCACTACATCTAATTATATATATATATGTTTAATCTTGGATACCTTCCGAAATGCTTCGTTTAGCTGGGTATGAAACATATTCCCTCACTGAAATAGCACAAGAACCCAAAAAGAACTGCCATTCACCAGGGTTTTACCAGTTCCATGAATAGTAGCTGGTTCATAACCAGCCTTACCATGACCAGTGGCTCATCCAAATGGTTTCGTCACAACAGCCATCTTCCAACCCCCAACTCATTGCAGCGTCTATGTTTAATTGGGTGGTAGATGGGACACAACCACTGAGCTGGATCTACTTCGCGTTGAGACGTGGCAGCATCTGTGTGTCATCTTGAGACCCATCACATTCGGAATATTCAGAAAATTGCAAGGAGACTATCACATTCGGAATATCAATACGCAAATATGTCAAATATGGAGGTGTCCTAAGTCATCGGGGTACCTCCAGATCATCATTAGTCACGTAGCCGAGGATCCACTGACCCGGTTTCAAGTGAAAGCGATTGTACCTCAGGCGACTGATCTCCCAGGGACTCGAATCGCTTCCTTTGGAAAATTCGATGGTCTACTGAAATCTATGAAAAAAAATGATATGAATTTGCACATCCAACGTGCATCATGAACAAAACTCTTCTATTCTTATGAGATTTATGAGAGTCTGGCCATCCTGTAGCCATCCTGTAGCTTCAACTCCTTCACTGGCTATGCCAGCTGAGTTATTTTTTAACAACATTTAAAAACCTGCTTGATGCTTTCAAATAACCCAACAGAAATGGGCCTGGAACAAATAGAAATTGATGAAATTGGCAACTCTTGGGTATCAAAACAGTTGATCTTATATTTGAGGGGATGAGCATCCATTTTGGTCGGCCATGTTGTGGATCTCCACCGGCGCCGAGGTCCAAACGCATGTCGATAGATCAAACGTCCATCTGACCGCGCAGCGAAAGCAGGGCGTTGAAACAACACCGAGTTCGGAGCTCGATTTCGGAAGGCGCGAAAGTTTGACGACTTGATGGTTGGTACATATGAACATGTCCAGTTCAACTCTACATTGGTACTTGATCATTCTGTTGATTACTTGATCATTGGAGAAAGTTGAAATTCAGGACCAACAGAATGGCCTTGAAGAGGATTGCCTCCAGGCAATTTCAACCGACTCACAATTATCAATTTCTGCAACTTGTCAACTCGTCAACCCAGCCACCTGATGCAGAAAACCAATAAATACTGGTGGCTCATCCCACTCACCAAACCAGGGATATCACGGACCTGCTTACAAAGTTGGATGAAGTAGTTTTTTTTAATGGAAAAATCCCATTATAATCCCAGCGACACCCCATTTTTCCGATCTTTGGTGGTTAAAATCCCATTGAAATCGCCACCTGCAACCTTTTTTTTGGAACCCTTCCCAACCTCCATCACGCTGCCCGCGGACCACACAGGGCCTGAGGCAATGCAAATAGTGATTTGAGTTGCTGCGAAATTGGATCTAGCTATGTTACTGCAGTGTTTCACCAGGCAAATTTTATCAGTTTTTGGGTCCCAATTTAGGCGCAGTTCTATGCCTATCTGTTGGTATGGCTGAACCGCCCCATGCCCAGCATGTTCCATCTGGGCTGCCCATGCCGCGTCGTGTCCAACCTCGGCCCGGGCTGGGGCCAGCCCTGAAAGCATGGTCGACTTTATGAACTTTTCGATTGGCTTAATTTGACCAGAAAAGCATTTCTGATTCTACCAGAAATTATCAAGAATTGCCCAGTTGCCTAATTTGATCAGAAATGGCCCAATTGTCACATGAATCGCTGCGTGGGTTTGGTGAAAATTTGGGCTTTCCCCAATTCGAGTGGATTTCCCAGTGTGAGACCTACCCATCTCGTCCACTTGTTAAACCATCTTTACATTTTTGTTTCCCCATTTACTTACCACAAAGCCTGAGTTAGACGTAGGCCATGCTTACACCTAATTGTGGGTTTCCTAAATGGGGGTACCCCAAAATCATCCAAGATTGCTTATTATCAATGGGGAAAACCAATGGTTTGGGGTACCGATATTTTAGGAAACCTCCAATTGCTGTTGTACCTTGCCTATATGCATGGTCTGAGCTCAAAGAAGGCAATTTTGGTCATGTAATACTAATACTAACTGACACTCATATTAACCTTTAGTAACCCCAAAAAAGTCATTTATTCACTATTTTAGTAGGATTTACCCCGTTCTTGCATCTTTTTGGGGGTGAAAAATTGTATAGTCAGTCATCCCATTACCCTCTGGTAAAGTAACATAACTATGGAAAATCACCATTTTCAATGGGTAAATCCACTATAAATGGCCCATTTTCAATAGCTATGTTAAATTACCAGAGGGTATATGTATATGGCTTGAAAATATGATGGTTCATCAGTTGATCCTCATCTTCCCTGTTCAAATTGCCAAGGGACTCATCAAAGGTTCCATCCACCGGTAGAAACTGGCCAGGTGTCCGCTTCGGAACATGGGGAAGCCCCCAAATCCCCCAAAAAATCATCCAGTCGTGGATGACCGTGACTGACGGTGGCCATGCTTGTTGGCCACCCCACATACGTTTGGGGGGCGAAAATGCTTCGAGTTAACAATGAAATTGCCATGTGCACCACTGTATGTAATGATTCTTCTTTTTTACCTATGTTTCACTTACATATAATCATGGATTCAAGCAACCCTGCAAAATTGGGCATTTGACCAAGTTTGAAGCATACAACGGCGTGAACGCAACAAAACTGTTGGATTCATACAACGTCGAGATTTTCATCCCATCCCTACCATCATCATCATCATCATCATAATCAACCATTAATAATCATCAAAAACCATCATCAACCATTAATAATCATCAATAACCAATCTATCAACCATTAATAATGACTAGTACTAACCACGAACCAAATTATCAAGAAAAATGAACAAATCCAATACGGACTTCAGAGATTCAGCAGAACGTGTTTTACTTGGAGGGATTACCTGGATCTGTGACTCCGGCGACAGAAATCCGACAGCTTTTCCTGAAAAAATGGCCGCGTTTTTTTCCACAATCGGACATGACTTCCCATGAGTGTCCCATGTAAAGCACATGGGTTTGTCTGATTTTTTTCTAGAGTACCCAAAAAAAATATGATGATTAAGAACCTCACTGTTCCATTAAAACATGTGCATAACTTAGGTGTATCCAACTCACTTTCAGAGAGACCAAGATATCATATGAAGTTGGTTAGTTATATCCCAATTCTACCTCAACTTTCACGGAAAAAACAATTAATTCTACCCCCATAAAATGATGATCAGTTCCCATTGTTTTTGCAGGCAGACCCAAACAAACATATCATAGTTGGTTAAATACCTCATTATATCTCTCCATCATATACATTTTTCTTGGTTAGCTATCCCAATTAACTACATCCCAACTATATCCATAGTCAATTTCAGTTCTATCCCAATTCCAACCCATCCTCTGGTAATGAAACATGGGAATGGGGAATCCCCCATCGATGTTTTTCCCACTAAAGGCTACATGTTTTTTCGGGGATGGCCCAGCCAGCCACGTTTGACTGGAGGGTCTCCAAAAATCCCCATGGAAATTGCTCGAAAAAGAACAACCACTGATCCCTCTAGGGTTAGGTCATAATGTACCCAACCTGGTTATGACTAACAGTTCGCCATGGTATAGATGGCCCATAGAAATAGATGGTTTACCTATTAATAGCATGGTGATTTTCCATCCCGATTCACACCTCCAAAGGTCCGCCGACTGAATCGCCCACGGCGAGCCTCGTCGGGGCCGTTTCTGACGAAAACGGGATTTGACCATTTAAATCATTTTAAAAAAAAGATGTGAAACATGGAATTTGCCTGGTATTGCACCAAACAATTTTGGGTGATTTCATAGTCAAAAAGTATGGGTTTAATCAATGAGAATGCTTGAAAAGTCGTGATAAGACTTGAATTCCCTGCTTTGGGGCCGCAGAATTCAGTACATGTAAATGTCATATGTTTGTTGGTTAAATCTTGTATAATTTGTTGTATGTCCGTTGGTTACATCCTTGTGTGTTTGCCATTTTTTATCTCTGGTTCAATTCAGATATTTGCCTATGTTGTTGGCGATTTCGCCTCATTTTTGCTGGCTAAATCCATATTTTTGCCAGGTCAATCCCTATGTTTGTTGATGACTTCTGCATTTTTTCTTAGAAAATGATCATTTTTCTTAGAAAATTACCATTTTGGTAGAAAATTACCAGTTTTGTTAGAAAATTACAATTTTTTTTCGAAAATGACAATTTTTCTTAGAAAATGACCATTTTTGTTGGTTGACGAATTTTCGGTGGTCAAATCCATATATGTCTTGGCCCAAATCCCCAGTGGGTCTCCGCGCCCCAGCAAGGTAGCGACGGCGGCACCGCAGCCGGGGTCCGACTCGGCGACTGAGGCCATTAGCCTTGAGGGTTTCCATAGCTATTGGGGATACCCCAATAGCTGGATGGTGGTTTTCGTTTTTGAACATCTGAAAATCAAAAATTCATGAGAACTGGGGGTAGGCCGGCCTACTTTCGGAAACCTCCATGTGTTTATAGCCTAAACGTTTACATAGGTGTGGAAAACCAATGGTTTCCGTTTCGAAAATGATCAGACCAAATGATTTACAACTGCTGGATTTTCTACATCTATGTTAGTTTAACACAAGGTATCTCTATTTATATATATCTGTATGAATATGTACATATATAAACATAGCCCCAATGGAATGGGTCAATATGGGTCAAGGGTATGGTAAGAAAAAACATTTCATGGGTTAATATGGGTCCTTTTTTTGTATTAACCACTCAATTTCTATCTATGAATATATACATGTAGATCCATGTACTGAGGAAGTGATTTAGGTATCATTTCGGGGTCAAAGCATGAAAAAATATCGGAAAATTGGTGGGACAATAATGAGATTGGTCATGCCCCATAGTTAGCCCAATCGGATTTAGTTAGGGTTTATGGTGATTTTAATTGCCGTTAGATTTTTTAGAAATCAACTTACAAGTAGCGGCATTACTAACTTATATCTTTCACAGATTATACATTGTTGTACATGCCATGTTCCATCGAAAATTGCAAGTATATATCTTATTATACTATCTTAATACTGTGGGTATAAATATTTTTCATGATACATCCCACTATATGTAGAGACCATGTAATGATGTCATATGTGTATATACAAATTACTACAACGGTCTTTCAAAAATGCCGCGTATCATATCCGGAAAAAAAAAACTTTGATAGACAATATCTAGCGATGTGCATCATTACTATTGTCACTGCTGCTAGTATATATATATATATACATTACTATGAGTTGTACGTTTATTGTGCCCGTGGTTGCTAGGATTATTGTTATTGCTAGATACTTCAATAATATCACATACACATATGAAGGTACATCATGTATGTTTCTGTGCCTCTGAAACCAGATGTACCTATGGATGTATCTAGATATACAGATATCATAAATTATCGTGCACTTTTGTTTTATCAATGGGAGTTATGATTTATGAAAATTTATGAGGAAATAATTGGGGGCATCATTGGGGTATTATGGGGGGAGTTCACAAAGAAATAGAGGTTCTGGATGAATCGGAATAGTTGCCCAACTCCAAGCCCCATCATTTCCAGTGACATCTTGTTGTAACTCATCCAACTCATTCAGATATTATATATATATTATATATGTATATATTAATTGCCATGGGCCCCCCCAAAGAATAGCTAAGTGGCTTGACATAACTGGCTGAAAACTATGGTTTATGGCAGATGTTCTATTTTTTTTCATGAATTAACAGCTCTCGATTCCACCTGAGAGTCTGTTTTTGGGATAGCACTGAGAAAACATGACAAAGCCAGGAAGCCTATATATATATACATGTTTATATAATATGGTGAGGGTGACTGCAAAGCACATGATCATGCTTGGTAGTCGTGGAACAAAGAAAACATGGTTGGTACCTCCTGGTTACCCTGTGGAAAATTCTGGAAGACCTGAATAGGCTTTGGAACAGGAATTCCTATTTGATATCTTTCGGGGCGGCCAGCTTTCTCAGCATTGTTGCCACTAGCTGCACCGATAAAATTTTGCACATGTCCCAAGATCAAGGTACCCCAAAATGTGATGCTTATCATCATTTGGGGGGTTCCATAAATGGGGCTATCCCAAAACAGATGGCTCAAAAAATGGAAAATCCCATGAAAAAATGGATGATGTGGGGCTACCCCTATTTTAGGAAACCACCATTTAACCATGAACTACCAGTTGACCCACCCAATCGAGTCTTTTGCACTGGCGATCGCAACGTCATGTCAGCTTCGCTTCAAGCGCTTCGCAGATCTGTAGTCGAAGGCAGCCTCCCCAATGGCAGTCACTGAACTTGGAATGACCACCTTTGCTAACGAACAACAGTCATAGAAGGCAAAGTGCCCAATTGAAGTTACAGAGTTGGGAATGGTCAGACCTCTCAATGACATGCAGCCGTAGAAGGCAAAATCACCAATGCTAATCACTGAGCTTGGAATGGTCAAATTTGTCAATGACGTGCACTTGTCGAAGGCTCCATTTTCAATTGCAGTCACTGATTCTGGAATGGTTAAGCTTTCCAATGAATTGCACCCGTGGAAGGCTCTCTTTTCAATGGCGGTCACTGATTCCGGAATGGTTAAGCTTTCCAATGAATTGCACCTGTGGAAGGCTCCCTTTTCAATGGCGGTCACTGATTCAGGAATCACCAAGGATGTCAACGAGTTGCATCCATCAAAGGCAAATTTCCCAATTTTACCCACTGAGTTGGGAATCGTTAAGCGTGTCAATGACTTGCAGCCGTGGAAGGCAGCCTCCTCAATAGCAGTCACTGATTCTGGAATGGCTAAACTTCCCAATGAACTGCATCCACTGAAGCAGTTCTTTGCAATGGCAGTCACTGACTCGGAAATCATCAAGGATCTCAATGAACTGCACCCATAGAAGGCAAATTCACCGATGGCAACTACTGAATTGGGAAGCTCCAAGCTTGTCAACGAACTGCACCCATAGAAGGCTAGATCCCCGATGGAAGCTACTGAATTGAGAATTGTCAAACGTGTCAATGACTTGCAGCCGTGGAAGGCAGCTTCCTCAATGGCAGTCACTGATTCCGGAATGGTTAAGCTTTCCAATGAATTGCACGCGTGGAAGGCTCCCTTTTCAATGGCGGTCACTGATTCCGGAATGGTTAAGCTTTCCAATGAATTGCACCCGTGGAAGGCTCCCTTTTCAATGGCGGTCACTGATTCAGGAATCACCAAGGATGTCAACGAGTTGCATCCATCAAAGGCAAATTTCCCAATTTTACCCACTGAGTTGGGAATCGTTAAGCGTGTCAATGACTTGCAGCCGTGGAAGGCAGCCTCCTCAATAGCAGTCACTGATTCTGGAATGGCTAAACTTCCCAATGAACTGCATCCACTGAAGCAGTTCTTTGCAATGGCAGTCACTGACTCGGAAATCATCAAGGATCTCAATGAACTGCACCCATAGAAGGCAAATTCACCGATGGCAACTACTGAATTGGGAAGCTCCAAGCTTGTCAACGAACTGCACCCACAGAAGGCTAGATCCCCGATGGAAGCTACTGAATTGAGAATTGTCAAACGTGTCAATGACTTGCAGCCGTGGAAGGCAGAGTGTCCAATGGAAATCACTGAGCTGGGGATACACAGCACTGCTACGGACTGGCAGTTATAGAATGCTCTGTCATCAATGACCCTCACTCCCTCTGGAATTTGGAGGATGCACACAGCATCGGGATCAGACAAACAGCGGTCTGCACTTTCGGGCTGAGAGCATTCTACCACATGTTGACTGAAAACAACTTGCACCACTGCGTCGCGCGAAACTACCTCCATCACCGCCTCCTCGTTGTCAACCAACTCCTGGTTATCCACGAACACCTTAACAGACATCAGTCTTCTCAATAGCTCATCATCTGATCTGAACCTGGGTCTTGGTCGAGCCGGTGGGTTGATAACAGAGGGATGATTATCCAATTCCATGAGGATATCTATGGCTGGGAGCAAGCAGCTCCACTGAAATTCCGCATGGAATCCCGAATGAACCAAGGTCCTTTTGGTGGGTCCCTTTCTATCAATTTGCGCCGGTCCTTAAGGTTGGTGGGACCCCACCCCAATGACCACCCAGCGGAGGCTACAAACACAATGAACAACGGTGAGATAATAAAATGTGAATCAACAACTGGTTGGTGGTTTTAACCATCTTGAAATATATATATATATATTCGTCATGACATCCCATATATGAAATGGAAAATAATCCATTCATGTTCCAAACCACCAAGCAGTGGATTATATAATCCCATTAAATCCCATTAAACCCCCATTAAACTACCAAACTACCAATGTCGGAACTGCGAGGGGATATTCTTTTCGCTTTGGCCATCCCCTGAAGACTTTTTTCGAGCCAGCAGTAGAAATAAACCATCAAAATGCGCTCGATTTTTGACCAAGAAAAAAGCTTGGAAACTGTTGGCTTTTTCATTGAATAAACTTTAAAAAAAAAGTTTCCAATGAATCCGCGGGGAACGTCTTGAGCTGCTCTTTAAGCACGCCAACGGTCATGTCAGGCACAACTTCGACCATCAGAGCTTCTCCACCTTGGCATTCATAAAATTTTAGAGAATTGACCTCTTAAAAATTGTGATTTTCAATAGCTACGGCAGCTACCTTAAACTACCAGAGGGCACTCGGGGATTCAAAAACAGACTGCAGATATATGATGATATATGCGGTAGGCACATGCATAGGTAAGTATCGATACAGAGCAAGTGAGAGAGAGAGAGAGGGAGATTTAACCACAGGCACGGGTTCATCTGCAAATCTACCGCACTACTTAGGTGTACATTTTTATCAATCCTGTGTAGTTTCGAATCATTGTCAGTTTCCGCATGGGAAGTTTGCCAGTGTTTGTTTTTGTTGCTTGTTCTCACCTATATATCCGCATCATTTGTTGATCAGATCACCCTCATTGCTGGTGAAACTCCCCATAAATATACATGTTTGTATGAACAAAAAACATGAACCCTTACGAATCTCTGGTACCGCGTACATCCAAGTCGTTTAACTATAAATAACATGCCCGTTTAAAAATGTGGTGTTTGCAATCTCCATGTGTTTTGCTTTCGGATAAGTTCCCAATCCACCATGAGTTCCTTGACCTGCCGGGGTTGCAACCTGATCCCCTCTTCTGGTTCGGTGATTATCAGATTCTATTGGGCATTCCGCGAATGTTCCATTCTTATCCCTTGGAACATCTCCTTGAGATCAAATTTATAGATGATTAGTCCCCATGAAATCACTTCATTCCCAGAATAGTCCCTAGTCTTGATAAACGGCCGTTAAATCAGCATTCTTCACTGATCTTCCAATCATTTGCCAAAAATCGATCCATTATGATCATCATCACCTATCAATCCATTTACCCTCTGGTAAACATACAAAAAGCTATTGAAAATGGCCATTCATAGTGGATTTTCCCATTATAAATAGTGATTTTCCATAGTTTTTTGTATGTTTACCAGAGGGTAGTTCGATGATTTTTCCAGCTCTCAAGCTCCATGAAAACTTTGGGATGTCCCAACGTTTACGGTTTAAATCGGGCAACCTGAAGCGTTAAAGATCGGCCATTGATGAATGTTAAATCCTGGGATTCTAACATTACTGGTTGGTGGTATACCTACCCCTCTGAAAAATATGAGTTCGTCAATGGGAAGGATGACATCCCATATAATATATGAAATGGAAAATAAAAAATGTTTGAAACCACCAACCAGATTATACATGGTCAATCTTTGGTAGTCCGCAAAAAATCATGTTCATCTTTTGCTCTTTGGCTGGTTACTTTTCATTTTGTGCAGATGCTTTTTTGGATTTTTTGGAGGAGGAGATTTTGTGACTTGTTTTTCAGTCTGGGGCACTTTTCCTTGCTATTTGGAGCTAACATTTCTCATTTGCACTGTGCATCGATTTTCCGTGGTGATAAACAATTTTTCCGTGTTACTCGATTTTTCCATCGTCATCGTGTTACTCGATTTTTCCATCTTAATATGTATATAGATATATATACAGAACGTAGGTTGAGGCACAACCCTGTTGGGTGTATTGGGTGTGAATAGTTTCATTGGATGTTATCAATGTTTTCCTATAAATTCTATTGTTGGATTGGATCTTGCCTTTCTTATAAAACATTATCATGTTATTTCATTTTGTTTTCTCAGTTCTCACTGATGTTTTACTCGTTGTCGGCACAATAGTTGCAGCATACTGCCAAGAAACCACAAAAGCCAAAAGAACAAGAAGCCGAAACCAACAAAAGGAAAAAAAAATGAGAAACTAAGGAGCCGAGAAGACAAAAGCCGCAAAAGCCAGAACAACTTTCTTACAAAACATTGTTGTTGTCCTTTTATTCTTTCTAATTGATGTCATAATCTTTGTCTGCACAATGGCTGCAGCAAAGTGCCAGGTATTCCATCCAGTCGGATGGGGAAGTATTAACTAACTCCTACTTTTTTGTACGCATGACAATTCCTCATTCTATAGTCCAATCATATTCCAATAATAGTCCAATTGGATATATGTCTTAAGTATTATTGGAATACTATTGGAATATTACTGGTTGGTGGTTGAGCCCTACCCCTCTGAAAAATATGAGTTCGTCAATGGGAAGGATGACAACCCATATATGAAATGGATAAAAAATCCAAATCTTTGAAACCACCAACCAAATTATGTTTCTGGGCAATACTATTGGAATATTCAGGTAATCATTGAAATGGAATATAATTGTACTATTATTGGAATACTATTGGAATATTATGTTTCTGGTGATGGAAATCTTATGTTTCTAATGGGGCTCCTCCACCAAGCCACTGGTCTGCTGCACCGGGATTCTCATCGCCATTGCCATCCGCTGCAAGCTATTACCCTCTGGTAAACGTTTACATAACTGATGGGAAAATCCCCATGCTATCAATGGGTAAATCCACTATTTCGGCCATGGCTTCCATGGCGAACTCTTAGTCATAACCAGATGGTGTGTTTCACCCATTAAATCACCATAATGTGAGTCATAACCAGACGGTTTTCTATGTGAATACGCTATGAAAATACGCTTGTTTGTTCCCCATGAGCCACCCCAGTGGCTATGCCCATGGAAAACCACATGATTTTTGTTGCTGTCCATGGAACAGCTGAAATTTCCACGGTCTTTTCGGGCCCCCGGAAATTGGGGATGGATTTTTAAAAAATGTTTATCGAATCATGATCCATTGGTATCGCACGATTCTCCCATATGATCCCATTCATATCCATTACACTATATCTATATCCCACGGTTGAACATCCCATATGTAAAAATATCCCACGTATATCCCATATTATAGATTTCCAACGATTATCATTATCCCAAAATTTCCCCATACTATTCTTGTATCATTGTCCCATTATGGGCTGCCTCATCCCCCAGCCTCCAGCAGTCCGCCTCCTTTCTCGCCACCTGCGGCGTTGGCACGTTGGTAAAACTATAGTATGATAGTAATATTATATAATGATGAATAGTAATGTGCTAATAGTTACTAATTCAATGGATTGGTTTAAGGGAAAATCTACAGGAAACCATAGATTTTCCCTTTAAATATGGGGTTTTCCTGTAAATTTTCCCTTAAACCAATCCATTGACTAATATATCAATATAAAGATAAATAATGTACCATATAACATTATCAGTATTATAATACTTATAGTGTACCAAATTTATTAGTTTGATGTCATCTCATCTTATGGTACAATGCTAATAATAAGACTTAATGATGATAATGATAATAAATATGTGATAATATATAATAATACTATAATTTAATGATATAGAATACTATAATATATTAAAAGATACTGTAGTATATTAGTATAAGCATTGTTTTTCTAAACACAATAAGATATCATGTGTCTCGTTATCTTATGTGTGTGCTTTTGTAATTTAGGGTGGGGGCTGGTGACTTGACAACCCCCCCTTTACGAATCCTTTTTTGGGGGACCAAGCTGTGTCAGGAAGCCTCAAGAATTTGATGAGTAAGTCCTCAAAATGCCGAAATCTTGCGCTCACCTCTAAGATCTTTGACTGGTGTAGGTAAACATGCCCTTATTATTGGTTAAATCTGAATGTTTATCATGGGTCAAAACATATATATATATACCACCGTGTTCGATTGTTCAAATTGGTGTTCATACTTAAATCCCCGCGTTTCTTGGTAAAGACGATGTTTTTGATTGCTACAACTGCAGATGTTTTTTATGGTACCCACAAGACTCTGGTGACTCTGGTGACAATTGGATCTGTTCCATTCTTCAAAAGCCTGATTAATTACCCTGATGTTTCCATGTTCAAAATCTCCATCTCTTTTCATCCAAATGATTCAAAATGCAGAAAAGCATGTTTTTCATCCATTTTTTCCATGTTCAAAATCTCCATCTTTTTTCATCCTTGATGGTTGAATCATGTGAAAAAAATGCCGAAAAATCCCATCGATCCCGCGCCTGTCGCATGGCACCCTGCAGCAGGGAATGGTCAACGAAGCGCTCACCTAACCAGGACTCCGCCTGGCGTCACGCTTGGGAAAGGTCACCAGGAAGTTTTAGAGGTCACAGTCGGATGGGCCAGCGAAATCCTGCAATCCTGCATCACCAATTTTGGATGGTTGAAACATGTTGAAACCCTATAAATGGGAGAAATTGACCGCCGCTTTCAACTGGTGATAACCGGATTTCGCTGGCCCATCCACCGTATTTGATTTCTCACCATGACATTCACGGACGACGGCATGACCACATTCAAGCGATGGACTATGAATAAATAAAGTGACCGGCAAAAACACACTAATAAACATGGCATAATCCCAAAAATAGGATCTTGATTATACCATGTTTCAATATATGTATCAGCCTGATGTGTCCTCCCAAAAATGCTGAAATATATATATATATATATCAGGTCATCCCTGACAGATCTCAAAAAAAGGCGTACAGAGCCGACCTTGAATCAACGGTCCCTAGCATCATGCGAAGAAAAGCTAGGTACAGCCATTCAGGTCCTTTGGCAAATCATTTCACAACCCAAATATGTATATATATATATGTATATAACCAGCAGTAGAAACTTGAGCTAAATGGACATGCTTGGAACAAACAATGGAGTGCTGGTTTTTGTCTCCCCATTTTCATTGGGCTGCAAACCATCCGATGGTCACAAATTCCGCCAGAAAAGTTGATCATTTTCCTTGGGCTTCGCGGCTTCCCCATGGATGTTGTTGCGTAGACTACACGTCCGTATCATCTACATGCTTCACTCATCACGTGTGTGGATCAACTCCACACAAATGTCTTGCTTCAATCACCATTGTCATCTATCGAATATCTTTTTTGGCACTTTCGCTAACAATAATGATCGGCAAATCGATCCTTATTGACTGGTGACTAACAGTCATATAGAATCATCACTACTATAATCAACTATATCTATATTGATTCATTTCATATAGTTGATATCCAACTATTATAATCAACTATATCTATATTGGGATAGAACTATAATGGAACTTTCATATAGAATCATCACTACTATAGTCCATTTCAGTTCTATCCCAATTCCAACCCCAGAAAAGCCTCCATGAAACGTGGCTAGCTGGGAAATCCCCCAGCTTCGATAAATTTCCCATCCAAACCTCCATGGCTACGAGTAATTCACTGGTGGCTACTCCACCAATTTTTGTGGCTCATAACACCATAGTTCTAGAGATTATATATATATATACATACATATGATATGTGTATATATATATAGTCTCTACAACTATGGTTATATTTATGTCCTAGCTTTTGGAGCTTATGAAACGAGTTCCATAAAACCAAGCCCAACTGCCCGCGCAACGGGCACCGGCGGCACGCATTTGGCCGCAGGACGCTCCATTCGCATCCTCGAATGGATCCAGCAAAAAATCTCATCCCAAAACGGGGATGATCGATGGGAAATGGTGGATGATCTTGAAGAAAAATCGAAGAAACATGGGAAAATGGTGAAGATCATCCGATTTTTGGGAAGATCAAAGATTATCCCATCTTCTTCAAAAACTATTCAATTCGTCTATAATTCTTGAAGAAAACCTGGGGGATGATCGGATGGGATGGGGGATGCATATCTTAGTTTCAAAGTGTCGTGAACCGTGAAGAATTGAGCGAAAAAACCAATTCAATGTGGGGGCCAAACAAAAATGGAGGGTTTGCCGCACACAAAAAGATGGTATATACAACAAATGATGGAATTTGTGACTGAAATATATATATATTGAGTACTCACCGTACTTAGAAAGTCCACCATGCCTGTATTTATGTGTATATATATATATGTAATGCTATACATATATATATACATTCAGTTGGAACAATGGGTATTCACCAGTTCTCATGTGGGATAAACTTACCTCCAAACTCCTGCCTAAAAGGTGACCCAAAATCAAATGTGAAGAAGCAAAAGAACCAAGGCAGAATCAGAAGGCTAAGCATGTGAGTATGGGGTGAAGAACATTGCAGTCCTGTAGCCACACATAACGGGGAGTTATCATACATACCTCTGGTAATTTGTTACATAGCTATGGTATAGATGGCCCATTTGTAGTTGATTTACCTATAACAAATAGTGACTTTCCATAGCCATGTCAGTTTACCGCAGGGCGACCATCTGGTTTTCCAGACCCAATGCTTTGTCCTATTGCCACATGGAGACATCAACAGGAGCTGTCACTGTTTTTTTGGATGCTGGATGCTGGACCCACCAAGTCAGAACCACAAAAAATCCAGAGCTCTTGTTGCAGTCACCATTTTTTCATCCACAAATGAATCGGCTCGGACAATGGTTTGTACACCCACCATGGACGGCCAATTTCATGGGGAAACTGATGATGAACTGATGATAAACGGATATTTTCTACAATGGATTATCATCAGCGAATTATCATCAGCGTTTCTCTACAGATCCCGGCGAACTAAACCTGACAATGGCGAGATGCAACACCTCCGCCAGTGCTTGTGCGCCTCAAGCTTTGCGAAGCAACCCTGTGATATGTGTTCCATGGAAAAACATCTACAAGAAAAAAGGGGAATATACATGTCCCATGTGGAATATATATATATATATACATGTTATGGAATTCTAAAAAACTCATCTTTGGTTTATTTTTGTTGGATGTGCCGTTACCATTTGATCCATAGGTTTTTAAAACATGGCCATGTGTAGCTCACCTTGCCCAACTTTTCAGTGGGGCTTTCCCACTAGGACAAGAAATTGAAACCCAGATCCATCATTCATTGGACAAGTCCCCAAGTTTTGATACTTTTGATGGCTAAAAGCCGATTTTGGTAAATCCACTTAAAATCCAATGTGAAATCTCCGTGTTCATGATTAAATCACATCTTTTTTGCCCATGTTTGATTGTCAAATCATGAAAAATCCCAGTTTTTGGCTAGTGAAATTCCACTAAATTCCCATTAAAATCACAATGTTCATATCATTTCTACCAGTGATGCCCTCCGGATCTCTCTGGGTCACCCGGCTATTTGGCCAAGACGGCTCGCTAGCGGCTTTTCGCTTCGGAGATGACGTGCACTAGGGAGGGATGGACAAGTGGAAAACCGAAAGCAAATTCTGAGTGGTATATTGAGAAAATATTGATTATAATAACCAATAATAATAAGTGGTATATTGATGGTATATTGGTGGTTATAATAATACCATTGATAAAATATGAGTGAATATTGGTGTATATTCCCGTATAATACGCTCAAATAGTATATTGATAAAATATTGATTATAATGACACCAATAATATTGAGTGGTATATTGGTGTTAATATCACATCATATCACCAGGAAATATTGGGAAACTAT